ACTGGTTCGGAGGCTGGCACTTGCACTTACTCCCTGAGTAGAGCTGAACTTATGAAGCTTACCTCATTTGGTGAACCGGTACTGGGAGCAGCAGAAGCAAATAGAGAGCTACCGCATTGTACAATCTTATAAAAGTTGATAAAAAGTGTTAAGAATAGGTATCGAAAAAATTCACTGTGAGTAGGCCGGTGAGTCCAAGCGGTTCGAGCTCACCCTAGAGCTTCACTCATCTCCTGAGTAAAGCCTGTCACAAGTCTGTGATTTAAAGGACTAGTAAAAGTGGGATCCAATGGGTTGCCGATCGTGTCACGGCTCAGGACCCTTCGATGACAATACTACGTAATAAGAAAAGTAATGTGATAATAAGTAATAGCAGAGTGATCGTCACTTTCAGTAAAACATAGTGATTAGAAGATATTTTATTTACATTATTGACGACCTAGTCCATCAATAATCTCTGATTTTAGGCTTGGTTGTCAGAATTTTCGAAAAAGTCCTCTACTTGGATTCTTGAGATCCACTGGTGGGTGCCTAGAAGTCAACCCATTGGTAAAAGCTGCGAAATACGTTCATAAGAATTTTCGTCCACAAACCGACGACAACAAACCTTTTTGCGCTGTTTCGAATCCGTTTTTTGTTGAGTAGTTTTCCCCGTAACTCCTGTAACGAGTAGGAAATAAAAAGGGGATATTTCAGGATGAATACCTCAATATCACCACTTTTTATCATGTACCAATTGAACCTGAGAAAAATGAGCGGAAGTGTTGTAGTGGCAAGTGGTGCACTATCACACACGCACGGTCACGGGTTCGAATCTCGGATCGATATCCGCCTAGGCCAACCAAGCCTTCCATCTCTCCGGGGTCGGTGAATTGGTACCAGACTCGTCTGGGAGGATAAAAGGACTTGTACATCGGCTGGCCACCGCAAGTCATTGTATAGGCCATATACGCATTCAATACGCCACTACCATTCTGAATGGGAGTCGAATGCGGGGCCGCACCTCTCAGACGGGATTGATTGAAGCCTCACGACTTTACCTTTCCACCATGGGAAAATGCAGTCAATGCCTGGAGTTGGGGAAGGATCAAAGTGGCCCATGGGACACCTACACTTTACGGAATCTGCTCTGAGCTTGAGAAATGATCAACGGCCACAACTACTTTGTGATTCATTGCTCCAGAAATCTTACCTCGTTCACGAGTACGTTGCAAATAGGTGTAGATCTTTTTCATATAGTATATGGTGATTATAAACAGCAAGAGTGTCGATATTACAGTGTAAAAGCTGAAACACAGGTACGTAATACAGGTATTTCATGGTTACAGTATGCGATTAAACAAACCGTGCATGACTAAGACTGCCATACTCCACACCAATATCCTTTCTACGCTTCCTTAAAAATTTTTCATTCAAAAATGCATTTTTATAAAGGTCTTTTTTTTAAGGAAATCTTGGAAAATTGTCGTGTCGGTTAGTTAAATGACAAGAAGGTTCTTCGAGGGGCCTCATAAGTTTTGTGATGTTTCGAGTGATTATTGATGGTTACCAAAGGCGATTGGTGGAGCTGTAAGAACCTTATACTACCCACGTAGTGGGAGGACCGAATTCCGAATCGATATCCACCCAGGGTAACCACGCCTCCTATGCATCCGAGCTTGGGTAATCTGTACCATACTCGCCTGGGAGGATATAAGCAATGACTTCTACATCGGCTAGCCAATCCTGAATAGAAGTCGAATGCTAGGAGGCATTCTGAACGGAAACAACGGAAACTGATATCAAGATTGTAGAACAGAAATGCTACTCATCCCGAAAGCGGAGTATGAAGGACACAACAGAGCCATTAATAACTACTGCAGTACTACACTACTCTGTGATCAGTGCGCTTCCACTCTTACAGTAATTTTAAACTACAGTAGACTACTTAGAGAGGGCAACTCACGCCACAAAGTTACGTCGAATTAGGGGAGGAGTTGTTTTTGGAGTAGATGCCGTTGTCTGTGGTTCTGTGGTTGTGATTTCGGTCTTCGCTGTCTCTGTCGTTTCAGCACCGCGATGAACCCAATCTGAAATTAAAACTACCTCTTCTGTAATATGTTGTTTTTATCTGGAATAGATTCTCAGAATGACTTTTATCTAGTTGGATCTAAGGGAAGTCCTCTACTCATTGAGAGCACCCAAACTGCTCGAGCTCTTTCACACCTCTAGTCGATACAAGATAAGAAAAACTGTTGTAAGCTTCGGGATAACCCAAATGGGAAGAGCTTCTCCACTGGAAAAACTGACTGGTGCTGACTTAAACTGCAATGCTAATTCCAAGGACTCAAGGCTTAGGGTTTCATTGCTTCGTGTGTCTTCATTTCTAGGAACCCATAAGTCAATGTGACTCCCCTCCCCCCCTTTTTTTGTCCTGCTCGCCGAGGGAAGCAGCTCGCTTGAACAATCTCTTTCTTATTCTCTTCACTCAACAATTCCTCGCTTTGGTTTCATTTTCACCCTCATTTTTTTCTCTCTTCCTGGGTTTGTTAACTTACAGCTGTTTTATTTGCCGTTCATTACAGCTTTCAGTTATTGCTTTGATTATTACTCTTCTAAGCCTCGCTGTCAGTCCTACCTCGTCTGGTGTAGCTGGCGCGTCATAAAACGCATGAATAAATAAATAAATAAATATGTAGGGTAACGGCCTA